AATTAAGTAAATTAAAAGGAAAATATTTGCCTTGAGAAAAATTTGATATTTTAATAAGTTATATCGAATGGAGTATTTTATCGTCGCAAGTAGAAATTTCCATTGTTTTCGCGTCGAGAAAGAAGTAAACAGAAAAGAAAAGGCTGCTTCGGTTAGATACGCAGTAGATAATCGAAAGGAGAATGACTGATAAAATTTCACAGCATTTCTCTGTCCAAATAGACAATCTCGAGATTGAGATACATGGAACTTCATAAAATTTCCAGGCAATTATATCGACACGAAACTTTATGAAAAAGTTTGCAGCATTTTTTAAAGATAAAACTGAATACAAAATTGAAGCAATATTTTACACAAAAGAACTGGTCAAGTATCGACGTTCATGTGTAACCATGACATTTATATAAAAGAGTATATTTTATGCGTACACGTTTAACATCACGGATCGAGGGAAAATAAAAATATAGAAATAAAAAAAAAAAAAAAAAAAAAATACACGCCCTTCAGTTCCAAGTATATATAGTATATTTTTTGACTCGTTTTTTGCGAAATATATTTATCGATTTGAAGAGAAAAAAGCGACTGTGGCATAGTTACTAGCTATTATGGAAAACGCTCCATCCTCGCTAAATCTACAATGAAGCGTAATAAATCGAATAGTTACTATTATTATATACGATACCTAGTGATTATCCATCAATTTAATCAAAGAAATTTTGATCGAAATTTCTTTTTGTAAAATATATATTTAATACATATTAAATTCCTCTGATTGCGTGCTTCATTATGAAAGCAAACATTTTTTTTATTCGTAGATAGAAATATTATAATTCGTGACAGGATTCATTACTTATTATTAATTATTTAGGTGCAATAACATTCTCTATGTCTTGTAGAAACAAGCTGTTAAAAAATACATAATGAGGACATTGATTATTGTTGAATTCAAAAGAAGAGGAATATGAAACTAATATTAAAGATTTAAAAGCAGTAAAATTTTGCAAAATTTCAGTGTAATTTTCTTCAAGAACTACAAATCAGCTCAATGTATATTACACACGTATACAGGTTGCTTGAATTTTAATAATAGCAACCAAAAATGATATTACTCTTCGTTTCATTTAACGAGACACATTATTTATTTTCATATTCATTACGAAACAAAATATTTTTATTATTTCGTTTTGTTCATTTTACGAACATCTCATTAATTGAAGCATCATATTATATATAGTTTATTTTTGATACAAATTTTCTTTGACGAAGCATTTTCTTTTTCTTACATTATCCAAAGAATATGTTCCTAATCGATTAAAATCCAGACATCCTGTGGTACGTACATAAACTATTATTATCGTCGAGTAATTTTGTTACGAGAGACGGTTGATAAAAACAAAGTATTTTTAATTTCCACACTGATTCCAATTCAGTTAGTTACTTTATTCGTTCGAATATTGAACAGAGATTATACGCGAGAAATCTTTCATCATTAATCCATTTCTTATATCTTAAAAAAGAATAAAAAGATATTGATTATATTTTACATTATATCATGTCGATCACGTTTATCGTGGTATCTATTTAGCGATAATAAATTTCTTCTCTTTTTAATTTTCAATTTTCTTTCTCTCTTTTTTATATCGGATTTAGATTAGATCATTATAATTGAACGTTCATTTATTTAATTTATTTAATGGACGTTACGGGTCTTGTTCTACGTCACATGTAGAGAATAAAGTAACTTTTAGTCTGATACACGACGTAAGTATATCGGGTTTGGACGATACAATCCTTCCTTAAATAGCTTTACACGAGAGAAATCGTTAATGTAATATTTATTCTCGAATTGTACAGTTGTAATTTTATATTCGTTGCTGATAATGAGAAATTGATAAAATGTTGAGTACTGTTTCATACAGATACTATTGTTATTCCTTGAAAAAATATTTATTATACATTCTCGAATTAAATTATATAAAAAACAAACTTCTGAGTTATGATTTTTTACCTGTATATACCTGTATAAATCTTACTTAATATATATTATATTAATATACTATATACTATATACTATATAAAATAGATTACGTAATATAGAATCATAGATGGATTCAATTACTTTCGTTATTAATATATGAATTAAAATTTTTTTATGTCTCAATTATCATATTTTTAAAATTTACATTAGATTAAATTTTTAAAAAGGAAATTTCGAATCAAATATGCAGTTTTTTGCAATTCTCTAAAGATTATTTTTTTGAAAAACAATATCAATCTTTCTGAAATTATTCAAAATATCATCAGCGTTCAAGAGATGGCACTAATGGTTATTTTTTATTTTATCTTTATTTTTTCCAATTCTTGCTTCTATATAGTTTCATGTGCAATTCCTAGAGATGGCATTAAATGTAAAATTTTTAACCTATTATCATCATTAAAAATTAAAAAAAAATTAAAAACTTATGTAAAAAAAAATCGAACATAATGAGAAAAGTATAAAAAAATTACAAGAAAAACGAAAAATAATAAGAAAAAAATCAGAAGAAATTAAGAAAATAGTAAAAATTTAATGAATTATCAGGTTTTAGAAAAGAATGTAATTATGTATCGAAGCCTATATATATAATAAAAATATATTATAAAAATTTACCTAAATTACATTATAGAAGAATAAATATATTTAATAATAATTTATTAATAATTAAAAGTAACTAAATGAATAAATATAATGAAAAAATATAAAAAAATAAATAAAATGTATAAATAATTAAAAGAATAAATAAATTTATAAATAAATGTATAATTAAAATAATTAATAAATTATAAATTAATAAATGAATAAAAAATAAATAAATGAAAATAAAAATTAA